GAATATAAAGCTCTGTATAAGAAGTTTTAATCTACTGTACTTCCTGTATCATGATTGATGTTACACAGAAGAGCCTTGTTGCAATTATTGTTGTTCTGTACTCTTGCTGCAGCGGCACCGGCGTAGGAGAAAATAGAGACGACATAAAAAAAAAAGAAACTCCATTGCAATACCAATAAAATATTTGTCTGTAATTGCAATGATGATAGTGTAGGCGATTTCTTTTCTAAAAAGTTTTGATTAGAAAGCCATATTAGCAAGGTGTGGAAATTTGAACGCAGCTTCATTGCTCCTTTGTTGTCAACACACTTTGTTAGAAACGTAATCAGGAGCTTTGTTGATGATAAACCTCAAACTCAGACCTTAAAGTGAAGCATTAGTATTGCTTCACAGCAGACACTCGGATTCGGAGAGGCAGTGGTGTAGTCATTACCACCTCCCAATTTCACATTGAGATTTTAATCACCGGCTACAGTATTTCTGATTGATGTGTGCGTGTGTGAATTGTGCGTATACACATATATCTGGGCACACAAGGGGGGGGGTTGTAATACATCTTCATAATTAGTCTCATAATTATAAGGCAATAAACTGCAGTACACATGGGAGACTGATCCATCTCTGGGATACCGCAATTACCCTGCGAAGATGTGTTGCTGTGACAAATCTCCAGAAGCAAAGTAGAGCTCTGCACCTTTCCGTCTGAAACAACATGCACAACACAGGCTTAGTTCAGGTTTGTGTTTACAAATGTGTGAGGGAAGTATAAATGTGTCAAAGCAAAGGGTTTGGACGGAGCGTTTGGCCTGGTCGTAGAAACAAATTATTCCCCCATAAAACATTAGCCTGATTTGATTTTAAATTCCAGTCCTGTTGCCACCTCTTTCTCTCTCTTTCTGTACATTTATTTTTCTTCCGAAAGGCTGTCTAGACTGCAATCCCTGAAATGCTGATGCACAACAGCTCGTCTTCGAGCTCTCGTCAATCTGGTCGATGTGGCGATATCACACGGCCACTGAGTGAGTCTAAATTGGCTTTGCCTCCATTAGCCTCAACAGGGCCTCATTATCAGCAGCTAACATCTAGCCTGCAGGGCCGGACCTCTGCTGCTCTGCCACCCATCACGCACACACACACACACACTTACACACACATGCACAGACTCACAGGTATGCACGGGCACACACATACGGAGATGTTCTCGTTGCCTCACACGCTCACACCCTGTAATAATTCCATTTCCATGTTTTTGATTAAGCCAGCAGGACGTTTCAGTTTGCTACTGAGCACACCTGCTTTCATAGCAGACACCCACAAAGGATGATGGGATGCTCCTCAGCTGGAAATAGAATAGGAAATCAGCCGGGGTGGTGTGACGTTTCGTGATGACTGCATGACGGTAGACATTATTTTCAATATGAATGAGCAACCCCTCCTCACATGTATGTGCAAAGGTTAAGTTTGCTTAAATTCACACTCAACTACACACAGAAAATGTCACTTGGTGTAACCTTTTCTAAACAACGTGCAGACCTTTTCCATTCAGCATCAGCGGTCACAGTCTGAACATGGACGTCATGCTTGCACGTCATCCTGCAAAATAATGGATCAGTGGTCCTAAATCTAGTTTTCTGTTTTCTTGAGGTAGTACTGTAGCATGTCAATGTCTCTGGTCAAAACGAGTCATGTTTTATCATCAGTTAACCAATAGGCACTTTTTAAATCAGCAAGGAATCTTCCATTCAGAGATCAATTGTTGGACTTGTTTTCAAGGAATAGTTGAACATTTTGGGGAAATATGAGTATTTGAGTTTGATGAAAAGATTGATACGACTACACTGGTGCCAGTTAGCTCAACTTAGCTTAGCATAAAGACTGGAAACGGGAGGAAACACATAGTCTTCGGCTATGTCTGACGGTTACAAAAACCGCCTACTCGCACCTCTAAAGTTTACTAGTTAACAATTAGCTGTTTTCCTGTTTTTTTTATGCTACGCTACAAGCGAAATGTCTTCCTCTAGACGCTTAATAACGATCATTACTCTGTAGTCGGTCAAGTGTTTCGTAGCAGTATTTGCTCCACTGCTTCCCTTTCTGTGGTGCGCAGGAGAACAGGACTTCTCTAAACCACCTGCAGTCATCTAATATCTGCAATTCATGAGAAAGAATGAGGCACAGTTATCACAAAAAGCAGATGTCAAAAAGTCTGAGTCATGGACGTCATCGGGGGTCAACTGAAACTACTTACAATAAGCAAATAAAGCAAAAACGCAAACAAGGAAAGAGTGAGTCCAGGAAGAGAGGTACAGCATAAGGGCATACCTGATTTAGTTAATTATTATTATTGGTGAAGGACATAAGAAAATCCAGCTCTGACCCTGACAATTAAACTCACTGCACAGGAGCAGCAGCGTGGAATTGAAATTAAAGAAGAGCAAGAACTGCAATAAGCACTAATTTGATTCCCTGGGATCTGGGAGGAAGTTTTGTAAAGACTGCCGCGAGGGTAGACTCTATTAATTGCTAAAATCACTGTCGGGGGATTATGACTCTTGCTGCCAGGTGCAGCACACTCCAATCACAAAACTGACACTTTTCCAAAACTGTGGGACTACTTTGCGAATGTTTTCGTGAGTCTTAAATACTAGCAATACTAGTATGTATGATTATATATATATATATTTATAGTCTTTCCATTGATCTCTAAAGATTTTAATGTAACTCAAGCTAAACTCTCTGTAAAGTATAAATACTAAGGCAGAACAGAAGAGTTTTTTGTGAAAGGCCTACAACTGTATAATTGGCATAAGTTGACATAGCTTAAATAGTAATTTTGCGATTAGCCAGGATTCTCTGTGGTGACTCAGGATACGACGAATGTTTTAACTATTGAATCAGCCTTAAATAATTGAAGTGACAAACAGGTCAGAGTGCTTGAAGGCAACAAATCTCAGTCACATCTCGGTTCAAGTATGAGGGTTTAATAACCACTGTGGTCTCTGTTCCCTTTCTCTCTCCCAGGTCTTAACTCAAGCCTCCCATCCCTCTCTTTCGTTCTTTTATTCGTTCATTCATCCATCACCATCCAAAGGAACAGGGTCAGTTTATTGAAGCTTCCCGCGGGCTCGTTCTTGCTGTCTGGCTCTGCTTATGTAAACCAGACAGGCCCGGCTGACCGAACACGACAGCTCAAACTGAAAGGGGGCCTGACTCCATTCTGACGAGCTCAAATTCTACGCTCTTCCTCTCGTCACAATGATCAAATCAAAGATATTCTTAGATTGTCTTACAAAGCTATCCTTACACATGATGTCTTGTAGCTTCACCCGGCCTGACTTGCTACGTTGGTATTCTTGTTTCCTTTGTTATTTCTTTGAAAGCAGTCTTTAAACTGATCATTCTAAGCTCAGCACTTCCCCCAGTCGTAGCTGTTAACAGAGGCTTTACCTTCACATTCTGCTCAGTCCTACCAAACCACATGTGTCAAGGAAAGTGAAAGAAACAACAAAGGAAGGAAGGGAACATTGGTTCCTGTCTGTCTGCGTGGAAGCAGACAAACTAAATTCAATTGTTGTGCAGTTGAAAAGTAGCAAGTGCAGCACAAACAGTGCAAAACTAGGTTATGGGAGTGTTGCCTTGAAAAAGGAGAGCAACGCTACAACTCCATGGAGCTGGGAAGGAATGGACTTTGCCTTTGTGCAGCTGAAAAAACAAACGGTCGTCCCACGCCGGGGCAAGAAAGAATCACAGTCTGAAACGAAGCAGTGAACACAGTTCAGTCCAAGTCAAACGCTGAGTCCCATACTAACGATTGACCAAATGCAAGGGGATGGTACAAGAAGTAAAGTTTACAGTGAAATGTGGTAGAAGAAGGAAAAAAAAGTTGCATGAGTTGCAGCACTGTGGATCAATAGTTGCTAATGAATGCAGTGCAGTTAATTTTGGAGTTTCATTACACTCGGTCTAATTCACAGGAAATGGAACTGTCTCTCCAAACACAAGCATAAACATGATTCAGGTGAGTGGGCAGTTAAATTGGCCTGACAAAACCCCGCAGCACTCTGCTTCTGTCTAAAGCGGATGTTTTTAATCTGAGAAAACAAATTCATATTTTTTATGAGTTAACCGTTGACATGACTGGAAAGTGGCGAGTATCAGACTCTGCTGTTCATCAGTGCTGGCACAATTTGGATAAAAAAAATAATGGTTCAATCTAAGTTATTATTATTGTTGACTGCCGAGAGGCCACACTCAACACCCACCACTGACCATCAATGGTGCTGATATAGAGAGAGTGAGCAGCACCAAATTCCTGGGGGTGGACATCAGTGAAGACCTCTCGTGGACAGCCAACACAACATCACTGGCAAAGAAAACTCAGAGGCGCCTCTACTTTCTCTGCAAACTGAAGAAGGCAAGAACACCACCACCCATCCTGTGCACCTTTTACCGAGGCACCATTGAGAGCATCCTGACAAACTGTATCACTGTGTGGGGCGGAAGCTGCACTGACTACAACAGGAAAGCCCTGCAGCGCATAGTGAACACAGCTGGAAGGATCATTGGTGCCTCACTCCCCTCACTCCCCTCCCTGCAGGACATATACGACACTCGCCTCACCCGCAAACTGACCATGATTGTGCGCGACTCCAGCCACCCCTCACACAGTCTCTTCAGCCTCCTGCCCTCTGGGAGAAGATACCGGAGCCTCCGTGCTCGCACCACCAGACTCTCAAACAGCTTCGTCCACCAGGCTGTTAGGAAGCTGAACTCTCTGAACTCTCTCCCTCCTCTCTTTTAAAACTCCCCATGTCCAACTGCTGCTAAATACAGATTGATAGTTTTTTTGTTCTTTTTTCTCTTATTATATATATATATTGTCTAAATGTTTTTTTAATCTATTGCACTGTATTCACTTTATATGTTTATATGTTGGACTAGAGAGAAACGTCTTTTCAACTCCCCTGTATGTCCAGTACATTGTGGAATTGACAATAAAGCAAACTTTGAACTTTGAACTTTAAGGGCAATCTGTTTTCCTATCTTATCTTACAAGTGCACTCTCTCTCCCAACAGCCATTCATAAATCCTATGCTTTGCTGCTTAAAGAGGAATCCTATTGGCAAAAACCTTAGCAGCTCATAGATGCTGTTTGAGTAGCAAATACAACTGGGAATCTATTAAAATCCCTCAGGTGAGATTCATATTCTAAATAGTCGAGCACAACTGAGATTGTCAAATGTCCTCACACTATCCATCTTTCAGCTCGGTGTGTTTTTTGTCCCACATGGATAACAATCTCACAGTGGCTTAGAGCCCTGTCCAAAATACACACTCCCACTTCCTGTAGGCCTGTCAGATAGAATCTCCTCATAAGCACACTCCTCTGAAGTTCAGACATGTTTGCGTGTGGGAAGAAGTTGTTAGATTATGACATTCTGTAAACACAAGGTGGGTTTGATTTGAGCTCTGGCTCGTCCCCAACTTCTGTAATGTTGCCAGTTGTGCCTGAAGGGTGTGGGCTTTCCTCCAATCCTCCACGGGAAACATGACAGACTCGCTGGCCAAAAGGCTGATATGAATGAGCCAATATGTCAAACCCAAAGCTTCCCCTGGTTTCACACGTGCTTGTGTTGCGGTAAAAAAGATGTCTCTCACTCTCGCAAGTCGCATCTAAATCGAGTTTGGCTGCAGAATCACGCTGGTGGCCTTTTTCTGGAGTCATTCGAGTTTAATCAGGAATGCACTGGCTCAGCTTTCTTGGGCTACTGGACTGAATGAGAGACAAGCTAAATAAAAGATAACCCGTGGAGTTTTCATGATCGGGTCCCTGTTTTGTTTGGCTGGTTTCACGCTGTTCTGCCGCTCAACAGTTGTAGTAACAGCTGTAGTAAATGTAGTAACAGCTGTTATCACGTCGCGTCAACAAAGGCGGCGTAAGGAGATGACTGCAAATGTTTTATGAGGAAGAAAATACGTATATGCTAGGCCTCAAAGACACACACTTTGTATTTTGGTGAGCAACACTAAAAGTAAACAGGAGCTTTGTGTACAGGAAACTCCACAGGGCAGCTTTGAGAGTAGACTAACAGACAAGCTGCACAATAAAACCATACTCCGATTATTATTAATTCAGCTCACAGCTTGGTGCCTTTTTCTTCGCTGAGAGTTATTATGTACCAGTTTTTTTTATAGCTCGGGAAATCATAGAAAGCACACAAATTTGTGGAGAAAGAACCAAATTGAATAATGCTTTGTCTCACATGATGAAAAATGGGAGTTAATATTCACTATTACAGCACTCTACTCTGGAAGCTGCTTTGACATCGTGTGCTGTGACAAATGCTGCTCGGATTCTGTTGCTGCTAAAAAGAAAAAAAAAAATATGACTGATTATCATATATATGCCTCCCATACACACACACACGCACACACACACACACAATTTAGATTTCATCACTGGGGTAGACCGTAGAGGATTGAAGAAATGCTAATGTGTCCGGCAGCTTCCCTGTTCGGTACTAGTGCTGATGATGATCCTGCTTTGGGTCCAGTGGGACCTTACCTGCAGCAAAATGACTACAGTATTATCTCCATGCAAATATTACCAGAGGAAAACAAACAGGCCGAGTAACTCATGGCTGGCTATGAGCGAGTCATCAGCTTCCTCTGAAACAGAGAGGGGGGAGGAAAAAAAAAAACAAGATGTCTCACGGTTCAAAACAACCTCAGAGCCTGCTGTAATTTCCGTTGCAGCCTCTGTATGTGAAAGTACTGTTAAGTGTTTCACCGGCTTTCATTGTTTGCCACTACATACACGTTGGCATTTAAAATGTCAAGAGATATCTCAATTTTGCGTCTACCTGTTGTGAGCTGATACATAATTTACATTCCTGGCCTGTTTCTCATCACAATTTGAATCCTATCAAGTTATATAAACTGGAAGTTTATAACATTGGGTATATATATTATCCTTTTTTACACAGTGTATAAAAACTAAATGGGGATGTGATTTGGCCGAGTTAAAATTAAGCCCATTTGACCAAAATGTAATGTAATTCCAGCAGAAGGAGAGAAAGCCAAATACCGTTGAGGAACATAAGCCTGCGGCTAAACTTTCAAGAAATGACTTTATCTTCAGTCGGCAGAGGTGTAAACAAAGCAACATGTCCAGCACGGCTGCAACACAACTTAACACAAGCTCACAAACCTGATGTGTAAGTAGTTTGGGGAGCTGCTTTTCTCTGAGGAAAATATTTAGATAAAAACTGGCAGCATTAACCGCTTTAACTGTCAGACAGCCAACGCTCTCCACCCCAATAAACGGACAGAAAGCTGGGATCTTACTGGTTGAACAGGTAGAGCCGTGGCTCCTCTCGCGTGTGAAGTGGAATTGTGATGGTGTTGTCGCTTTCAAAATAGTCTGTGTAGTGAAACAAAATACTGGTGTTTAGGATGCGGTTATATAAAAACCTCTCCTACTTTTCCTGAGATTTATGGTTTGACATTATTTATTAGCATTGTACCAGAAGTGCCTTAAATCACTTAAAATGTTAAAGATTCAATCCTTTGCCCAAAAAAGAAAAAAACTTAACTGTTCAAATATATATTTATTTCCATATTCTTTCATACAAACATCTTTTTTCTTTTTTTTTTTTCTCCAAAAAATAAACTGTTGACACGGGTGAATCAGTCAAAGTGCAGTCATATCTGTGTCCACAAAGTGGTCAAAGAGTGGGTAAAGCTGGGTAATGATTGGATAGAAAGCAACAAGAAGGGCACCCTCAAGGTTGGCACACAATAACAAAAAGCAAGCATTCGTCTCTCGTCCAATCTGTATCGATCGCCATCACCTGAGTCGTACAGGAGCGAGGGCTTTCAGCACTCTCGTCAGGTGCAAGTACATTGGAGAGGTTTTGCTCCTCTGTGCAAAGATTCATTGGATTAGAAAGATAATTATGGGCAATCCCCAAATGATTAGACTGCAGGTGCAGCTGCGATGCGAATGTATCCATCATAGGAAGTCACTTAATCTTGGGGGTTGAGTGTGTAAAAATCACATTTTTCTTAGGAGGGAGGACATTTGCCACTTCCAATTTCCACTTCATTCCGCAGCAAATCAACTTGTGGGGATTTTGTCTTGAACCCTCGTGATGTGCTTTGCTAGTGCTCTTGAGATTGAAACAAGTGTCACCCCAGACGCCAGGGCCTTTCCTCTCATTTTGGAGGAAGCAAATGTTAAAATTGTAACTCCCTGTTATGATTGTGATTTGTTTGCAGCGTGGCACGGTGCACCAAAGCCCACGAAAAAAACAAAACGTATTTGCTCCCTCAAACAACACAGGTTTTGTTTTTCAGCATGAAAAGTGTGCATTTTCCCCCATTGAACACCTCCTATAAGCGAAAGCTCCAACCAGCACCAGGTGACCAGAGCATCAGCTGTCAGTTGACAAAACGCTCCTCTTTGTTTTCATGTGTTGCGTTCAAGTGGTTGGCCAGCTCTTGCGTCACAGCATCTTTGCCGATCTGATCGTTCCTCCTCTTCTCCATGATCACGTCCTCCAGGCTTTGAAACTCCAGGACGTGAGTCTTCTTCTCCGAAAAGAGCAATTTCAACCTGTACGGCTGCTTCCCTATCCGTATCTCCCCTCCGATTTTAAACTCCCGTTTGCCAAAGCGGCACCAAGCGGCAAAGCACTCAGAGTTTCTCCAGTACAGCTCTCGGTCCCTCGACCCAACGTGGTCCAGGGCGTTGCGCACGATCACCTCCGGCGGGAGCGCGCGGTACCTGTAGAGGCCGTTCACTATCCTGCCTTTTTTGCCCTGGCTCACATCGGTGAGAAAGTTGTTCTTTATCTCGGCCCTGTGCATGTGGACCACCTGGAAGTCCCCCACGTACACGGCCCAGTGGGGATACTGTCCAGTGGCCACGAACTCCAGCAGGTCTCCCGGTCTGCACTTGTTCAGGAGACTTTCCGCAGAGTGAGTCGCGGCTCCGGCGTTCGTCTCGTAGACGCACTCCTCTCGGTAGTAAATCGCGCACGCCAGCTCGTCCCGGGGGTCGAAGGGCTTCTCCTCGTGGTTCACCGCGTGGCGGTCCAAATTGTCCTCCTGCTCGTCGTCGTCGTTGGAGAAAATGTACGAGACGCCGATCCGCGGTCCGTCGTCGTCTTCCGGGTCGAACCCATTTGGGTCAGACGTTGGCACCTCTGCGTAATTCAAATGCGTTAGTTTCTCCACCTGGTTCCCCATAAAGGTGACAGGTGGATGCTGGGAGGTGGATTAAGACGAACACAGAAACAGGATCCACCTGTTCTTTCTTCAACCAGGGGAGGAGAGACGGAGGGTTTAAGGCGCAGCGTTGTGCCGTGTCTCAACTAAATCCAAAGCAGTGAAGACGGGCACCAATAATCCATGTCCGGCTGGGTACGTCCTCCAAACGAACGCCAACTGCGCCGACCTGTACACACATAGACAGAAGCTTTAACAAAGAACTCACAGCACAAGCCGATCTGAAAGTCCAACTACTCTGCGCTGTTTCTACAATCCCAACAGGTGTGACCTGACACACCTGTTGGCTCACAGTTTTCCACATACTCACCGGATATAACTACTGCTACGTCTACTTCTTACACCGCCTCAGTACTGTTTCACATCACCTGCTACACTTCTGCCGTCATGTTAAGTCTGTCTCAGCGGTATGCCCTACCAGCAGTCCGGTTCATCTTCTACAGGTCGGTTCACAGTAAAGTCTCAGGAGAGCAGACGGACTGACCTGCAGTTCGGCTCCTGGCAGCAGCTTTCTCACGCGCTCCTGTAGTCACATCGGTAAAAAAAAAAAAAAAAACAGGGTTTCAGACGGCGCTGGCGGGCGCTCCTTCCTGTGCGCTTAGGAGGCTGTTGTGTGGTTTGCTCTGCTGTACTCTCTGTCTGTTTGTAGTATGAACCACAGTGTTGCAGCGAAACTCACCCAGGACCAGCGACTACTGGGAGGTGTTGTCATTTAAAGCGGCAGTACGCCTTTTTGTCTCTCCTCTTTTACATATTCAGTCTTCACTTTACTTTACATAAGTAGAAACACATCTACTACCTAGGTGAGAGAATTATGAGGTTATTGAAAGGAGTTTATCAGACTACATTTTTTTTATGAAATAATTGAATCAATATAGTAATACACGTGTATTATTGGATGAAAATAAAACAAGTTTTTTTTCATTGTAACCCATAATATGGAGATGTAAATGCTGTATGTAACATCCCACATCATTTAAAGAAGAAACAGAGTTATCATTACAACACACACACACGCGATCTTTTTTTTAAAATTTTAAATAATCCCAAATGGTCCAAAACATACAGCATGGAGCATACAGTATATCTGGATTATACATCAATATCTTTTAATTAACAAAAGATGTTTCCATGCAATTCAACAAAAAATATGTAAGCCCCCCCAAAAAAACGTTTATAGCCTAGGGAAATAAAAAAAAATTAAAAATGTATTCAGTAACAATGCTCCCCTTGAACTTGAGGTTGCGTCATTAACAAAAACAACCCAGATATACAATCAAACACAGACTGACTTTAAAGAGTTAAATTATGCTTTCTATTTAACTGTGCACTGGATTTGGACATTTTTCCTCCAAACCTCTTGAGCTATAATGATCTACACATCACTGATGCCAGCGGGGATATCGCAACAGAAATGTTAAGTATCTCTGAGATTCACTCTGCCTACATTGAACTTCACAGTAGAGCTTTCTTCTTTCCAGCTGACATTTTGACTCGTCATTGTTGCAAAAGCCCAGGTGTTGCTAATTACCATTAACAATGTCTCTGTCCTTTCTAAATGTCCCAGTAAGTCAACATGCACCCTGAAAACCAAGACCGCCAAGTGAAATTCAGCATTCATTCACTTTATTTACACCTGAGCATTTAATGCGGCGACACGACAACATGGCAGTGAAAAAGGAGTATCTTCCAAGTTTGCAATTAACAGTACTCTGAATGCAGGATTAATCATGAAAGTAGTAGTTACATCAGGTACAGTAGTATTGAACATTGTTTTGTGTTTGTTTGTGCACAATTGAGAGTACTTTCTCACTTGCAACCTTAACTGTGGTGTAAAGGAACTTGTTTTATTGACTCCAGAGGGGGAAGTCATGAGGGCAGTGTGTCAGCAGTACAATGAACCAGACTCTTGTTTGGATTTAGCCCCAGAAAGCAGTGGGGAGAAAAGCATGACACCTAAAATCAAACCAGAATTTTGGACCACCAGTCTGATCTGAGCCACGCCATTCTCCCCCTTCTCCATCCACCCTCTGTGCCACAAAGTGAGACTACGTTCACTTCCTGCCAAAAAGGTAAAACCCTCCTTGGACAAGCCAGCTATTGAGGCTTACAGTGTCTCAGGCAGCCATTACACACACATACTTCTTGGAGCTTTTGAACAGATGAATGTGAATTCCTGATCAAACGTAACCAGAAGAAAGCAAACATCTATGGGGAATTGATTGGGTTTTTTTTTCCTCAGTGGTGCATGTCTGTACAATATTGTGTTTGAATTTCTGAGGATATTTACAGCTCTGCCTCCCTCCAAAGAAACGTCTCAGTGGCTCTGCCGGTGATACGGCGAATGCAATGCCGATGCTTGTTTGCGTGCACTCTCCACTAATTGAACTGCTGTTGTTAAATTACCTGTGACTTCACATGTTGTGCAGTAAACACGATTAGCTTTGCAGAATGCCTATTCAAAACGAAGTCGAGTGGAGAAATGAATGAAAATCATTTGTTGCCGGTTAATATCTTCATGGGCTAAATGCTCTTAGTGCTGCGTGACGTACTCTTTGGAGGGGAAGAGCAATTAGAGATTTTTGAAAATGCGTGATGCAAGGTTATTAAAAGATTAGCTTCACCTAGTTTCATCTCAACACAGCCTTTTGTTTGTTTCTCTTTTGGAACAAAGACCCTTTACAAGGAGCGAGAGCAGGCTGGATGGAGAGATTTAATCACATAAGTGCAAAGTGCATTCCTGCAGATGTTTGACAATGGTTCGTTAATAATGGCTCATTCAAATAACAGGGTTTTTTTAAGGAAATTAATTTAGTATCTCCAGAATCCTACTTTAGCTTTTACTTCAGTTAGAATAAACTATTATTTTAATGAGGATCATCACAAGTCACATTAAGATTTCAACATCTTTAAATATGTAAAGTGCATTCACGTATATATGCTCGATGATGAGCAAAGACTAAAATGAGCACTTCCTGGATTCATAGTTGCCAGTAGGGAACAGTAGTCACAATGCTACTAATAATCCTCCATCACACCTGGAGTTGAGAATTTATAATCCAGAGATGAAAAATGTATTTCTTTAACATAGATCCTGTGTCCTCATGCAGACACTGCTCTCTTGTGGTTCTGTCGACGTACTGCACAGTGTTACGATAATACAAACATATCTACAGTCACTCCCGGTCACAAATGCAACTTTGGCCGTATTCATTTATCAAAAGGTCTGCAGCTTTTTTTTACATAGAACAAGAATACAAAAGAAAAAAAAGGCTCCAGTTGAAATACAAACAAATCATCACTAATTAAAATCGCATTTGCCGGATGGCAGAGTTTTCTTCAGGAACAAATCTCTGAATAGAAAAATTATAAATTGAATAACTAGTCTCAACCGACAAATGAAAACAAGTGGCTCAAAAATACTGCCAACAACATACTCCTTCTTAAAATACAATTAATTCCCTTGTCACGGGCTATATAATTAAAGATTCTGCCACTAGAAATGTAAAACAGTACTATGTGCGGCTGCTGTGTCTCTTTTGGCTCTGGATCTTTCTCCTCAGCATCTGGTCAGGAATCAGATCCGACTGTCTCACGTCGGTGTTCCCACAGCCCACCACAGGACAGCTAGAGGGCAGACAAAGATCGCTTAAAAGGCCGTCTAAACGCACAAATAGAATATGCAAATGTGCTCCAATGTGAGCAAGCGCGAGTTAAAAACATCTCTGCATTGATACTGACAGGCACTTTGGGGAGGATGAGGATGAAGTGCAGTTACAAGTGCAACAGCATTTCATCAGTCATACACCTAATCACAATACGGCCCCTTTGAGCATTGCTGCTATAATTGTGCATGGAAGGCGTGTGCGTGCGGTGACCACATTCAGGACTGTGTCTTTGACGACAACATAAGCCGGCGCTGGGATTTCATCAGAGTTCCTTTAGGAGCAGCCGCATTTAAATTCATTCCAACATCAAAGCAGTATAGTAAATAAAATGTGAATTAAGGCCGACGGCTGGTCTCACGGCAGCATGCCAAGTTGTTTACTTGCTGCAAAACAGTCCTCCAAGGGAGAGTGTGTCTTACCGGCATTTCTTTTTCTGGCCTTGTTTTGCTTTGATCAGGCCCAGTATGGCAGCTTCATCATAGTGGTGGTTGCACTTCTTATTCTTCATCGGGTTCACCATTTCCACCTTGAATACAGATTCACGGCAGTGTTGTCAAATGAAAACGCACACACACCCAAAACACAGCTGCTAAAACATCAAATCAAGGTGGTTTCCTATGTTTTTGCTGACACTGCAACTAATATGTTGTTGTCAGAAATCAGGTAGAGTTGTAATAAGATGCAAATGTTTTGAAATAAGAAAAAAAAAAAAAAAAAGCATTCAACTGGAATATGTAAACTGGTAGAAATAACACATTAGCAGGCTGCAGCAGTCCACCTGTGTGAGTGGGCAGGTGAAGTTGACTTGGCTCTGTGTAACAGCGATGTCTTCATCGAGCTCCTCCGTGTTCTCTACAGACTCTTGGTTGGCTGAAATCACAACATGCAGACGGTGAGCTTCCAAATGTCCGACCACGGTAATAAGTGACGTACTGGATGGATGACGAGGTGGCAGGAGGTTCTGCAGCGAGATGGATATGGATGTGGCTGAAACTATATTTATGGATTATAGAAACATGGTAATAAATTCAGAGCTAATTCAGCATGTAACAGAATGGCGTAATGATGTAAGACACACAGCCGTATACTTTTACAGTGTCACACATAGCCTAAAGACATTACACCAACAGATACATGTATGTATGCAAGACATGCACACACACAAATCCCACCTGCTCACACAGGCATCCAACACATCCACCCACACATAAAGCAATCTCTCATTTTTTTAAAACATGAATAAAGTTCACTTTAAACAGTGTGCTCTTCCAGGCGATGATGCAATAGCCAAGCCAATAAGGTTACATATTCTAATTTTTAGACATTAAGAGAGCAAAATGTAAGCTTCATAAAGTATCCCTCCGTCGGAAAAATTTGGCGATTTGGCACTCTTACAGTGAACAAGAATGATGGTTGATGGGTTAAGGCTTCACAGAATACATTATGTTGACTGTACATTAAATTATCTCATATAATCAGACACCGCAAAGTATGTTTTTTTTTTTCTCACAATGCAATTATTGGGAATGAGTCAGACTGGGGAAATAACATTGGTACAGAGAACCTCAACATATGGCCTTGCCCAAGCGTGGCTACGTTTTTAATAAGGGGTATAATAAGGACAATAATTAAAAAGCCGAAAATAACAGCTACAGGGGTGACAGGCAAAGTTAATTAATCAACAGTAAACAAAGGGAGTTGTGTTTTAATTAATTAATTAAATTTAATTCAGCTAATTATTCTAAAAAGGACCCCTCCCAAGATTTATCTCTGCTCGGCTGAGCAGCCCTCCTGCAAGCACAGCTATGATCAAAGTTTATTAAAAGTCCTGAATCCATTGCGTTGAGTCCAGCAGTGAGTACATTTGGATTATTTCTCCCATCTCTCCAGGCCTTACCTTGGTTGAGAGAGTTCTTCATGCTGTCCATGAAGGCCACTACTTTCGGGTGACTCTGCAGCTCGGCGTCAGAGAGTCTGGCTATTCTCTCCGTGAACTGCTCCTTCACTTTGGCCGACAGGCTGAACATGGCCTCGGGCTGCTGCTGTGTGTTAACCTACACAAACGGAAGTAGATTGACCTTTACAATTAGTCAACTTCAGTGTTTTCCCTGACATTTAAAACCAACACCTTGACATTAAGACTTGCCACTCACAAAAAAAAAGAAATCGGTGTGGACGCAGCGAAGCGAGAGCTCGATGACCTTACAAAGACGCACTCGTCTATACGCACTTTTTGTACATCCAAGCCCTTATCCCGGTAATGCATCTTGAAGCTGACCCGATCCTTTAGTATAAGGGGAAATGTTTTCCACTCATGTGATTAGACGGCACCGGGTTGCTCTCACCTCTGATGTGACTTGTTGCACAATGTCAACAAAGTGGTTGATTTCTCTGTCCAGCTTAGCACACTCCAGAATCATGGCCTCCATCTCCTTGATGCCCGGATTGTCCCCTTGATCTGTAACATAACCGCACACACACACACAGTGATGGACGTATTCAGATCATTTACTCGAGTAAAAGTAGTAATACCACACTATGAACATACTACATTGTGTGTAAAAGTCTTGCATTGAAAATCTTTATGTTAAAAAAAAAGTGATGTATTAGCAACAGATGTATTGAAAGTACATATATATATACACTCATCATGCAGATTGGCCCCTGCAAGTATATTAATATATTTCAAGATTATTATCATTGATGCATTGACATGTCCGCAGTATTTAGCTGGTCAAGGTGGAGCTAATTTACACTACTTATTACTGTTGGGTGGTTTAATCGATACTAATGCATCACATTTTATAACCCTATGATGGATTGTGTTTGTAAATTATATATATTTTAAGTACACAAAGCTATAGATGCCACATAAATGTAGTGGGTTAAAAAGTACAATAACTCACTCTGAAATGTTGTGGAGTAACGTTAGCATTAAATGGAATAGTAAGTAACTTTCCTCAAAATTGTAACGTTACTCCAAGTACTGTAACGTCATGTACTTTTCATTTCCACAACTGGAAATGCACTTGTTCAATCAAAAATAACGTTACTATCATAGTCAGGTACTTTGGTGAATATCCCTGGTGACTATGTAACGTTAAGGTAGACACAAACAGGCGAATAAAAGTGTAATCTTTACCCTGTGTTTCCGCCAGGTCCATCGCCACATCGGTCACTATGTCCATTCCTGTCCCGATGTCCGCCTGACACGACTTCAGACTCGACAGTGTTCCGTGAACGGCGCTCAGAGACATCACGATCGTATATCTACCGAGACCACTGCCAGCGACCCCAAGTTGAGCTACGTTAGCTTAGCTTGCTAACGTTTACGTCCTAGCTTCTGGTGTGGTTAGCCTAGCTAGCTAGCTAGCTAGCTAACGTTAATTGACGAGCTACTTCCTCTATGAGCGTGAAGTAGCAGTGTCTTTATCTGTGTCAGTTTGTTGTACTAATGATATTAAGAAGATACGCAACGGTGAAATGCATTACAAGAAAACACGCAAATCACCCGCGAAAAACTACAACAGTAGCTACTACAGCTAAGATACTTCCAGGTTTGTTTTTGTTCTTTTCAAAATAAAAGCCTTGACCAAAAGATCCACTTATCAACTGAAGAGAAACAACACAAGATATTATGAACAATCGTATTTATTACTAAATAGTATTTGGAAATGGCACAAAGTGATAATACATAAAGTAGGCAAATAGGCTATTTAAATTTGATATCTATGTACAATCTATTATTAGTGCATTAAGACGTTAATGGTCAATGAAATGTGTAAGTAAAACAAGCTTTTTCATGGTAGACATTGAAGCACAGACTGTAAATAATAAAATTATTAAAGACTGATTTTTCATTTTGCTGCTTCAGTTTAGTTTTTACACACCTATGCTTTTCCTAATGCGACAAGTCAAAATGTAAAACGTATGGCAACAAAAGCATAGTGGTGCATGACGAAAATGCTTCCTCCAGATCTTCACAGTATTGTTCTGAACTCATCAAAAATGAAACTGGGCACATGGGCTTCGGCCACCTTAAGAATACAGGGAAAAAGGAGAAATACACGTTACTATCCCACAGTATGTAAAAATGCAAGACAAAGTGCTCAAAACATGTCTATAGTCTTATTCAGGGCATGGTGCTTTATGATAAACTTTCTCACAGCTGAAAGATATTACATCTTACTAAATAACAATACAGCTGCTCAACATATAAGGGTATCAAAGCTACCCCCAGTTTATGTCAATTGTTGTAATTTACCACATGTTGACAACCTTGCTAGCAGCAATGCTAAGGTCAAAGTTGGCCTACCTTGCGTGACAGTTTTGTGTACTTCACATAGTCTTCCAGGAACATCAGCGCTCCCACCACATCAGAAGGCATGTCAGGGATCTTCTGACTATGATGGGGTCAAATACAAACTCAAACATGAGTCCATAAAGCCATAAAAGGATAGACTTCATAAAAGTATTCAGATCAAGCAAACAGAAACGATATTTTAAACCACACACACAAAAAAAATGTCTTGTAACAAGACAAGTCTGTCTTGTTACCTTGTGCACTGCTCCATGATCGAGCGGATGAACTGACCAATGAGAGACAAGAACTGCTGTGTGTATCTTGAGTGAAACTGCTTGAGCAGGGTGAGCACGCCGAGCACTAGCGGAGGCCAGTCAACTGGATCTGTGGCTTTCTTGCAGGTCATTCCTGGGAAAAGTCGAGCGACCATTTACATGTTTGACGCAGCCTTAGGTACCAAGTCCGGCACACTGACTGTAAAATCCACCACATCATTCATCACTATTATAACAAGAATCTGGTTGGCTCACAATGATTAAAAACTACATTTAAACTGTAAGAGGTGCCTGTTATACCATGTGGGCACACTGGTTTGACCTGTTGCACTCACGACTGTACAACTTAATAACTCGTGAACCACAGTGCGATAAAATGTAATATAGTAAAACATGCCTTGGTTTTTGTTGTACTGAAGTTTAGGCAGCTGAGCGATAATAAACAGGAAGTTGATGATGGGGAAGTACGGAAGGCGCTTTGTGGTGATGTAGATCTGTGAGAGACACAAATGGAAGAAAAATGGTCGGAGCGTTCAGCAATAAATAACCACAGAAAACAGACACGACAGACACGCTTCAGCTTGTGGTGGTTTCTGAAAAACAATTATTATTTGTCAAACAACGCTCATTATCTCCGGACCTTGTTGAGTGGGTTGTGGATGCCGGCGGCCTCCAGGTGGGCAGTGATATCATACAGAAGAGTGTTGTCCTCTTTAGGGTAGGGCAGCGATGGATCCTGGTAGTGAGCTTCAATGTCGGCCAGCAGAGACCTGCCAAGGGCACAGTAAGAGTTGATTTCAATTTTCAATTTCAATCAGGAAAAGTCACATCACACGGTTTATTTTCTTAAATCAAACAGTCATTGATATACTACTAGTACTTGGCAAAATAAATGGTAATAATAACAAAGTGGTGAGACTTGACTGACTTGTTGAGGTTTTCCAGGGCAGCAGCCAGGTGTTTGGAGTCAAACTTGCAGGAGTAGTTCAGCTCATTAGCGATCTGCTGTCTGAGAATCTGCATCTGACCAACCTACAACAAACAGATGGAGTGGCAGGAAAACACAGGATGAATATCTAAACTAAAGTAATCAATAATCATTTTCTATTCACACCATTAGGGAACATCATGGACCAGTACCTTCATGATGGCCTCCAGGTATGCACCCCAGATCTTCTGGGTTTTGCCCACAGCGCTAGCATACACTTTGCTGGCATTACCTGTTGCGCAGGAAAAAAAACAAATCAATTCTCCTTCAGGAATAAAAAGACGCTGGCAGGTTGAAGGATTTCCGATAATGAATACCTACCCACGATACCCTGGATCGGGTTGGCAGCACCCAGCATGGCTTTGAAAACATCCACCGCAGCTTTGTCCTTCAGGATTGTCCTCTGAATCCATATCAGGAAGTTCTGATGGGAGAAACACGTTGCTAACGGTGCAAATATATTCAGGTATGCATAGTGTATGCATTAAAGAAAGCCCTTACAGACCAGGATTCAGGAGCCTTAGGGTAGCTTTGTTGCACAGCCTGAAAGCTTCTTTGTATGCTAATTACCTGAAGTTCCTTGACAATCATGAAGCAGAGGAGGCGGTCTAGTCCATTGAGGCCAAATGTACCCAGAGTGTTCTGGATCTCAGAGAACAGCCTGTTGTTGGTGACCTCGTGGTGGCTCCTCAAGTCGTACCAGGTGTTCAACTGGTCGATGTAGCACGTTACCCTGTAGAAAGGACCAATGTTTGTCAGGGAGCTTAGGAAAACTGCAACATTCAGTATTATATGTATATATGACAGACATGACAAAAGCTTGTTTCTTCATCTAAAGCTCAGTTGTTCTGAGAAAGAAATTCACTTCCTAGGATTTCAATAACTCTTTTATTTCAGGCCATGTCCACACGTACACGGGTTCCCCTTCATCTCTTTTGTGAGGCGTCACAAATAAATACATCTGTGAACAGCGGACGTGGTCAAATATCTTGCCAACAAGACTTTTTTACAAGCTAGCACATACATGTACAGTTACTCTTCTTATATTTGAGGAGACATACTTGGGATCCGTGATGCGGAGGATCTCTCTGCAGAGACGGCCGATGAAGGTGGCAGACTCATCCACGGAGGGAAACTTTGGGATGGGGATGTGGGTGGACTGGTGCACACTCTGCCAGTCCTGGATCTGATTGGAAGCAAGGAAAGAAACCGACGAATCAACTCCCCGTTACTGACGAATACACAAAGACCAGAGCGTCTTCTTATTGATTGTTGGTGCACTGGTCAGGGATGTGACCAGAAACCTGCAAAAAGCGTGCTACTGTGTTGAGCTGTGCTGACCTTGGTCCTGAGGAAGCTGTTGCATTCCTGTTCCACATTGTAGTTGATGATACGGGACACCTCCTCCTGCCAGATTTTAAGGCCGTAAATGCTGACGTAGTCCTGGATGTACTCAAACGACCTGTAGAACCCATCCATGGTGGCCGCCATGTCCTTCAACTTGGGCATCAGCTCACTAGGCTGAGAGAGAGGAAGATTCTTGTTCGGTCTCATCGCTTTCATTTTTCACTGCTGTTATAAAAGTATTCAGCGATCTACAGATCTGAAGTCTGACCTTAGCCCTGAGGTTGAAGATCAATCCTTTGTGGAGAGCATAAGCTACCCTCTTCACCAGCTCCTTCCTGATGCCATCCTCCAGAAGCTGCTTGGGATCCACCTAAAGCATCACAGTGTGTTGGAAAAGTAGAATCCAGTTACTTCTTCTTCAACTGCACCGAGGCTGATGTACACACCATATCCCTGCCTGCATGTTGTAACAACAACTAAACGTCCTTTAATATTCCACCGTAATGCTAAAAGTAACTGTGTCACATCGTCTACCTTAATGATCCCAACCAGAGTTGTCTTCATCATCAGGATCCCCTCAGTAAAAATGGAGATGTCATGGGTGAGTTTAGCCACCTGTCATCACACGAAGCAGAGGGATGTTTAGGTACACAAATACCCTTCGAATAAATCAGTCCAGTCAGTCAAAGTATTAGGATAAGCTAAGAATGTTCTACATCACTTTGTATGAAGACAGAATTTCAGAAACGCCAGCTAGTATGATTACTGCGGCACACAAGTCGCCGTCTAAACAGAACAACTTCTTTCGATCTAATATCTGAGGATGTTTTCTCACGACTTCAATGACATTGTGAAGCACACTCCGGGAGCTACGTGCACATTGTGAAGTGAACGGTTGTTTTACTTCATAGCGAGCCCCGAGCTGGGAGTAGTCCTTCAGCTTGTCCTTGTCTAGCCGTGTGGGCACCTCCATGATGTCGTGGATCTGAAGCTTGATGATCTTGGCCAGAGAGGTGAACATGCTCTCTGGGATGATCTGCAGCACCTGGAAACAAGAAGATAAAACGCCCAAAACTGAGCACCAACATGAATCCAACACCTTGTACCTTTTGAAGGGTTTGTTTTTAAGACAGCAGAGTCGAGATAAGTCTTCAAAAGCAGATGGTGGACGGTGCTGGAGATGAAAAATCTTGTGTTCAGCCAGTAGGAGCCAGTCCTCCAGCATAAAGTAACATAGGATGTGGATGATGAAACCAGAAGGCGATAGCATAGACGTCCACTAAATTGCCGTTTTGGGGGTAGATTTGCAAAACAGATGGTTGTAGAAACATTAATCATGACCGCAGGTGTTTCTGCAGCCGCCACAATAATTTACAGCATGCGGAGCTCATTTGTTAAAGTCGTGAAAGCGTTTTGAAACAGTGTTCATTTGTGATTGCCACAGGAAATGTCAAAGACTGACGTCTTCTCTGCTATAAACCTTGAGATTCGAGTGCTACCTTTGTAAGCTCATAGGTGGCAACATGACTTTATTTCACGGTACCTTTCGGACATAAGCCACCAACTCTCCGGAGTAGAACTGTGAAACACTCAGCAGGTCAGCGCTGTTGGCCTGGTTGATCCGCAGCAATGGAAGGTCCAATGCAGATGCCAGCTGGTCACACACACACACA